TCCTTCTTGGATATCGATTTGAAAATTTCCTCTTCAATCCTTCAGATTCTTATAGTAATCTGCTTGGAAGTCGATTTGGATAAAAATTTACAGCCGCCATGGCGCCTAAACGCAAAAGAAGGGGCAAACTCAATTTGATTTGCTCACGGATGATGAGAATGATCCATCATCCAAGAAAAATTCTAGTAAACTTTCCCGGCTTTATGCCAAGAAGGAAAAGGTTCCCCCTATTGTGATAACCACTTCCGATTCCATGCTATTCGCATGGAACTTTTGAACTTCGTGAAAGTTAATTTTTCACTACAAACTGGCGATGCACGCAACGGGATTTCCAATGATTTTTATTCAGTTCACTTCAAGTCTAGTGAACTAAACAACCTAAAGGACTTAGAAAAAGCTAGTCTTATGTTCCATGTCCGAGTGAAGTGGGAACACTTCAGGAAGACTGGAGGAAATTTCCAAAACCTCTCCCAGTGCCGTAAGTGCCAGGGATGGGGTCACGGAACTAAAAATTGTTACATGCCAGCTAAATGCATGAATTGTGGTGATTCCTCTCACGCAAAGGACAACTGTCCTGTGAAGGAAGATCCTAATAAATTTAAATGTTCAAATTGTGGTGAAAACAACAAATCCAATTTTTGGGAATGTAAGACTCGCAAAGCGATCCTACAATATCGTTCTAAGCGACAGGTAGGAAACATTTGGCATACTTTCCTGATAAATGGAAAAATGCTAAAGTTGTTCCAATTTTGAAGCCGGATAAAAATCCAGCTGAAGGTTCTAGCTACCGTCCAAAAAGTTTGCTTTCTTCAATAAGTAAACTTTTTGAAAAGATAATTTTAAATAGAATGATGCTTCACATCAATACGAACTCAATTTTTGCAGATGAGCAGTTTAGATTTCGCCATGGGCATTCAACTACTCATCAACTCTTAAGAGTTACCAATTTAATTCGTTCAAACAAATCTGAAGGCCATTCAACTGGAGTTGCTCTTCTAGACATAGAAAAATCATTCGACAGTGTTTGGCATGAATGTGTGATTGCTAAATTGAAAAAGTTTAAATTTCCACTTTATATTATGAAATAAGTTCAAAATTATTTAACTGACAGAACTCGGCAGGTAAATTATCAAAATTCCAAATCCGTGCGATTACCTGTTAGAGCAGGAGTTCCTCAGGGTAGCATTCTTGGGCCTATATTGTATAACATTTTCACTTCGGACCTCCCTGATTTGCCTCAGGGTTGCCACAAATATTTGTTCGCTGATGACACAGGCATTTCCGCTAAAGGAAGAAGTCTTCGTGTTATTTGCAGCAGACTGCAGAAAAGTTTAGATATTTTCTCTTCTTATTTACAAAAATGGAAGATTTCTCCCAAAGCTTCCAAAACTCAACTTATAATATTTCCACATAAACCTAGAGCTTCCTTTTTGAAACCTAGTAGTAGTCACATAATCACTATGAACGGAGTTACAATTTCCTGGTCAAACCAAGTGAAATATCTTGGATTAATACTGTATCAAATATATAAAATGTTTGTATCCTCTTATGAACAGGAAATCCAAACTTTGTCTGACGAATAAACTTCTAATATTTAAACAAGTTTTTAGACCGGCCATGCTTTAAGCTGTTCCAATATGGTCTAGTTGTTGCACTACCAGGAAAAAAGCACTTCAAAGGATTCAGAACAAACTTCTGAAGATGATTTTGAAGTTGCCTCCCTGGTACAGTACTACCATAGAGGTAATTCTAAGACCACTGGGTCCCGAAGAAAATCATTATTATTTTTGGCTCACTCAGTACCAGAACAACGGTCCCAAGCAGTCCCAAGCTATTTCACTCCCCCCTGCATGTTCTGCATGAATCCACACACCCCTGATGTTAACTGTCAAACTTTCATAGCGAATCAAAACAAACATAGTGTAGTAATAGAATTTCAACTATAGAATAGGGTACGTTAATCGTTTGCTTGGGACCAATAGGCTACTAAAGTGGTGAGCCAATTTAAAATCGTTAGTTTCGTATTGATTGTTGGTACTACCGAGGTACATAGAATTTCGAATTTCGAATGTTGAGACTTTAGAGCAAATGTCCAACAAAATAATTAATAATTTCAGGCAAAAATCGTTGCAAAACCTCAATTGCAACGATTAATTCCCTTTATACTTAGATAATATTTAGTTTTAGTTTTTAGTTTCAAGATTTCAATTGTTATACTGACATGCAGGTTTATAAAACCTGTTTAAAATACTGAATTGCCAAGGCAGGAACTATGTAAAAACACTTAGATATATATCATATCAATTAAAGCTGTAGTAACTGGAGCACCTAGGTTAAATGAAATGTAATTTATTTTAAATTTGGAACAAATTAAGAGTTTAAAAAAGGGCTGTTAAATGTAATTTTAAATGAAAAATCTCACGAAAAAATCTTAATAGTATATTTACCTTCGGTTGCTTGCTTAAATTCATCTAAATCAGTTAGAAATGTTGATGCCAAAACCGCATAAGAATTATTCTCATGAGTGCTTGATCAGTGGAAAATGAAAAGAAATCTCGTGATGGGTAGTTTCGTCTCCTAATAGTGAGAGGACATCTTTTCTCATTATCGACCGGGACAGTCCCATGGCGATTGAAATGTCTGCGCGTGGGACAAATCACGAATTGGCGTTGACGGCACCGTCGAAAAATTTGCTCTTCCAGCAAATATAGACAGTTTCTTATGGGAATTTTCGGTGGAGTGAAAGGATAGTACAAAGTCCGCTATGTTTCACGCACAGTCTGACGTTTGCTTATGGATTTTCTCATAGGAGTAAAGAGCTACAGAGTCGCCGTCAACGCCAATACGCTGCCAATTCGTCATGGTGCAACTGTCAAACTAAGTAAATCATTTTCTTTTATACACAGCCTACTACGGTATGAGCTATAGGTTACTTGCATGCAAAGAAAACCAACGAAGTGTATGCACAGGTGAAACGGGAACCTTATTTGTACGATGGTGCAAACATTATCACGCATACGGTACACCGTTTTGCTGAGGTACATACCCGGCTTTCAGCTGCATCTCAATATCCTGGTAAAAATGTTTCAGTTCCTTGTTAACAAGAATCACCCGAGGTTTTCTTTCGAACTTATTATGCACCAGTCGCTTGAAATCCTTGATACAGCCTTTCGCTTCCGCTCTGTCCTTCAGCAGGTAGAGCACCACGTACCTGCTAATCAGCGACTTTAATTATTTCTTGCCACCCGGAGTTACGTTCGACATAGGTTCACACAGATCCGTATGGATGAGCTGCAACGGTTGTATAGTCTCCGGACTGTTTTCTATGGATACGGCAGCCGTGCCATCTTCCTCTTAAGGCAGCACTCGCAAACGATCTTCGCTCCACAATTTGCCACTTTCATCCCCATCGCCAACTGTTTCTTCTGCAGTCACAGCGCCGAATCGCGATGGCCGAACCTGCGATGCCAAGTATGTTGGCAATTCACGGTGTGACGATAGCTAACCGCCAACGCTAGCAACGACAACTTATGATAACATTTTCAAACGTTTTGTTTTATCAACTGTTATGTTAGCTTTTGCACAGAAAACAACTTTGCATGTCTAAAAAATGGTTTTCTATGCGAAACTACACAAAAAATTGTTTAAACATTTTACCAAAAACTGTTGTTTTGAGATTTTTGTTAATTCAGTGTCAACATTTCAAAGGGGCGTAATTGCTTTTGTAAACAATGGCTTTAGCCGTCGATTTCTGGCAAATTAAAGCTCACCCCTCCAAATTGAAAATTCCAGCTGGTAGAGGATACATTCATCTACCTGTTGAAGTCATTGACTTTCACGTGTGAGCTTTTATTCGCGAGAAATCGACGGTTAAAGCCATTGTTTATAAAAGCAATTACGCCCCTTTGAAATGTTGACACTGAATTCTTGAATGTCCTACTTTAAAATTTCTCGGATGATAGTATTTTCACAGACAAACAGACGTAGCTCTTTGAAAAAGTTTTTCTTGAAAACATATTATCTCAAAACATAGGACCTCAGTAACGGCGCCGGTGGTGTAGTGGTAAGCGTGATTACCTCTCACCCCAGCAGGCCTGGGTTCAATCCCAGTCGGCGCCGCCGGGATGTTCTGAGGCATAACATCTCTGATCACGCCTTCCTTCGGATGGGAAGTAAAGCCGTTGGTCCCCGGTTCATGAGTTGATGGGTCGATAGGTAGGGTCCAGGTGTGGGAGCTGCTTTCCTGGCACGTCGGTAGCATTGGTGCTCAGCACGGAAAACAAGATCGACGGAAAAAAACAAACCAAAGGGGAAAAAAATAGGACCTCAGTAACGACATCTCTCGGGTTTCTCGCGGAAAACCAGCTTGCTCACTAACTCGCAAACAATATTGCATAAAAGTTCTATAGAAAGTATAGAGAAACGTCAAAGTGAACTGATAATATTCAAATAAACCGTTTGTTCGGACCCTTCAAGAACGCACCATGGACACCCGTTTTGCTGCAAACTTCTGTTTCTTGACTTCGTTATAAAGTCTCGCTTATGGCCGTGGAATTGTCGAGAAACGTTATTGAAAAGAAAACACTCGCGATCAAAATGTAAAAGAAAAGAGAGGCTTTATTGCAACAAAAATGTAAACTATATTTTTCTAATTTTACGACAACGGTGACCGATCGACTTGGCGTTTTTATTGGTACTGACTTAGGCAAAACATATCACCAAAAAACTACAATATGTGTGTATCTAATCGAGAAGCGTTACAATTCAGTATCAATAGCTTTCCCGTGTAGACATCCAAGAGAGACAACCGAAAGCAAGAGAAGTTATGCCACACGGGGGGCGCTCGGAAGGAACGCATCTGAAGGTTTTTTGTAATGTACCTAACATGCCGGCCACCTAAATTCTGTTAAGGGATTTATGAATTCAAAAATCTTAACTAAGCTGCTTAAGATTAAAGATGCTGGAAGTTTCACAATATGATACTGTATTCTTCTGAGGAACTACGTTGCGCTTTCCGGGCTTGCAGCGTTTACATCCTTCGGGGTTGCACCTGACGGTTGAGAATAGCAGGTGTTGGTGGGCTTTCCAGTCAAGGCCTTCTCGAATGGCAGCAAACAGATACGTGACGCCTGTCGTTTATAGATGGCGCCGTTCGGTGTGTGTACCTTCACTACCCTGATTACACTGTCGGGACCGGGATAGACTTCAATGATTCGAGCTAGAGGCCACTCGATGACTGCGGATCCATCCTCCTTCAGGACCACCATTTGACCCACCTTCAGCAGGGTTGCTTGAGGGAATCGTTGATTCTGGTTGTGCAGCTGTGAGATGTACTCTCGCCTCCATCGCTTCCAATGCTGCTGTACTAGTTGTTGCAGTTCCTGGTAGTGCTGTAACCGGTTTGTAGGAACCTCTGTGTAGTCCGGATCGGGAATCGCCAGCAAAGATGATCCAGTCAAAAATGTCCGGGAGTGAGCACGTCTAGCTCATCAGGATCTTCCGACAGTGGCGTAAGCGGACGAGAATTCATGGCCGCTTCTATCTGGGTGAGAATGGTGGTCATGTCTTCGAACGACAATTTTCGTTGGCCCAAGACTCGGATCAATGACGTCTTGGCAGATTTCACGGCGGCTTCCCAGAGGCCATCAAAGTTTGGTGCTCTTGGTGGGATAAATTTCCAAACGATGCCACGCTTAGAAGTTTCATTAGCGATTTCTGAGGTTGCAACTAGATCGGATAGAAGGTCGTAAAGCTCTCGTAGATGGTTGCTAGCCCCTTGGAAGTTCAGACCATTGTCCGAGTGGATCTCAGTAGGTAACCCTCGACGGGATACAAATCGTCGCAAAGCCGCCATGAAAGCAGCCGTGGTGAGGTCCCCTACCAGCTCGAGATGGACCGCTTTCGTGCTAAAACACACGAAAACTGCGATGTAGGCTTTTAGCGCAGCTGCTCGACGATGTGCGGGCTTTAGGTAGACGGGACCACAATAATCCACACCAGTGACCGCAAATGCACGAGTGGGAGTTGTACGAGGTTTTGGGAGTTGACCAGGTGGTTGGGATATAGAGACAGGGTTGCTTCGAAAGCAGCGAATGCAGTTTCGGAAAGTATAAGTTGCCAGTGCCTTACCCCGTAGGGGCCAAAATTCTTGCCGTATTTGAGCGAGCGTCATTCGGGGGCCAGAATGGAGCGACAGGTTATGGTATGCGACAGCTACCTGCCGCGAGAAAGAGTGGTTACTAAGGATAATCATAGGGTGTCGGACGGCGTATGATTCATCGGCGAGATTTAGCCGGCCACCAACGCGAATTATGCCTTGTTGATCTAGGAACGGATGGAGCAGCTTCAAGGGTGAGTGAGCAGGAACGGGTCGATGGTTGGCGAGGGCTTTGATCTCCGTAGCGAATGGCTCCCGCTGAACACACCGTACCAATGCGTACTTGGCCGCCTGCAGCTCCTTCACGCTGACATTCCTAGTTTTTGTAGATGATTTACGGCAGTTACGGATGAATTTTATGCAGTACGCCGTAATCCGCAAAAGTTTCCAATAGCATGAGTAATTATCCAAAAGTGGGTGAGGATGTGGACAACCCACCGCCACAAAAACGTTCTTCTTTTTCTCCAGCAACTCCTCCGATGGTTCCTTGTACTTCAAGTTTTGTTCGGTATTCCAATGTTGATCAAGCAAGGATAACCAGGGTGGCCCATGGAACCAGTGCTGCATATCGACGAGATCCTTTGGTATTACTCCCCGAGACACAAGATCGGCTGGATTCTCCGTGCCCTTGACATGGTTCCATCGGTGACCTTTCGTTAGCTCCTGAATATGCGAAACACGATTCGCAACAAATGTTGGCCACACGTACGATGGCCGCTTCAGCCACGATAGCACAACTGTCGAATCTGACCAGAACCAAGTTTCGGTTCCATTCATCCCGAGTGCCTTGACGGTCGAACGATATAGTTTTGCTGCTATGAAGGCACCGCATAACTCTAACCTTGCGAGAGTAGTCTTCTTCAAACTAGCTGGACGAGATTTTGCCGCCAAGAGTTCCACCTTTATCTGCCCCAGTTGGCTGATGGATCTAGCGTAGATACACGCGCCGTAAGCTGATTCGGACGCATCCGAGAAGACGTGAAATTGGATCAGAATTGGATGATTAGTGAATGCGTGCCGGTCCACTTTGATATCCGAGAGTTTGGGCAGCTTCTGATAAAAATCCGTCCAGCGACTAGCTAAGTCCTGCGACAATGGATCGTCCCAACCTTGAGAGGCTACCCACAATAGCTGCATGTGAATCTTTGCCCACGAGATGACTGGAGCCGTGAAACCGCAAGGATCCCATAGTTGAGCAATGACGGAGTAAACCTTGCGCCTTGTCCACTGTCCGTTTACAGCGAGACCCGATACGTCTACACCCAACAAATCTGGCCCTGGTTGCCAGTTAATTCCTAGGGTTTTCACCAGTTCCTGGTCGAAATTCAGTGAGGATTGAGTTCCCAATTCATCTGCGGCTAGACCCGCCAACACACTCTTGGCGTTGCTGACCCATTTTCGTAGTCTAAAACCACCTTTAGACATCAACTGCTCTAACTCTTGCCGCAACAATATAGCTTCGCTTTCTGAGTCTGCCCCTCCAATAAAATCATCAATGTAGAAATCATTCAAAAGCGCCGCTTTCGCTCGTGGAAACTGACTACCTTCGTCGTGCGCTAGCTGCTGCAAACACCTCGTTGCAAGAAACGATGATGGCGCCAAACCAAACGTGACCCTGGACATCTCGTAAGTTGCTATGGGCTCGTTTGACGAAAATCTCCACAAAATCCGCAGAAGAGCAGCGTCATCAAAATGTACCTTCACCTGCAGGTACATCTTCTCAATGTCACCAACTAAAGCGATAAAGTACTTCCGGAATCGCAGAACCAGATCGAATAACGGATCCTGAATCACTGGACCCGTCATCAAAGCATCATTCAGAGAGTAGTTGGATGTTGTTTTAGCCGAACCGTCGAAAACTGGCCGAACTTTCGTGGTCGCACTCGACTCTTTGATTACCGGATGATGAGGCAGGTAACAAGAGAGCCGTTTATCACGCTTTAGGTCCTCCTCCGGTACCATCACCATATGTTTCTGGTCTAAATACGTCTGCATCGCCTCGTTGTAACTCCTGCGCAATTCCTCGTTCTTGTCCAACCGCCGTTCTAGTTGCACCAGTCTTCGCACAGCCATATCCTTTGATTCACCGACCATCCGCTCAAATCCCATTCGTTTTGGCAGACGCACAACGTACCTCCCCGTGGTATCTCTAGAGAAAGTAGCTTCAAAGTGCTCCTCGCAATCCTGCTCTTCTTTGGTCCACCGTGGTACATCTGGCATCTCTTCAATTTTCCAGAACCGTTCGATCTTCTCACCTAGAGTCGGGTCAACCGACACGTGGCAGCATGGAACTGGGTTCAGACTGCCCAAATCCGCCTTGCCAGCTGCTATCCACCCAAATACGGTATTAACGAAGAGCGGTAGACCCTCACCTATCCGCTGAATTTGGATCCGACCTCCATTCAATAACAGGAACTCGTAGAAATACTCCAAACCCAGTAGAATGTCTATTGGAGCCTGTTTGTTGAAACCAGGGTCCGCCAGGACCATATCAGAGGGGAGATTCCAACTACCGATCGGAATAGTCGTCGATGGCTGATCATCCGTCACCTTCTTCAGCACCAAGAAACTCATCGGAACCACATAGTCCGTTATACGCGAAATAATAGTTGCAGACACAGAACTGTTTGTCTGAATCCGCGCGCTACCGACTCCTGATATTGGCACGCTAGTGCCTTTCCTTGGTAGCTTCAAGACCTGACACAGCCTTTCTGAGATAAGATTCGCCTGCGATCCGCTATCAAGAAGTGCTCTCGCCGTGTGCAAACGCCCGTTACAATCTTTCACCGACACTAGAACTGTCGACAGAAACACATGTACGTCGCGTAGCTCTGATGCAACATTAGCTGCGTAGATTGAAGTTACAGAACTTTGAAGGGATTGTTGTGGAGTCCCAACTGCAACTGCCGTAGAAATGCTGGAACCGCCCGTTTGCGATTGTTCAAGGACTTGATCTCTGACCACTGACCCAGTACTAGTTGCCGCTAATCCCGGATGGAGCAAAGTATGGTGTTTTTTGCTACACGTACGACAGCGGAAAGTAGATGTGCAATCTCTACTGTAATGGTCACGCCGAAGACAATTGCTGCACAGCTTCTTGGAATTTACGACCTGGAACCGCTTATCCAGAGTCAGCTTCGCAAAAGAAGGGCAGTTGGTGATATAATGCGTACCGCCACAGGACACGCACTTCGACGACGAAGTCTCCGATGATACGTGAACCGATAACTTATGAGCTGGCTTCTTGAACGGGGCGAGTGGACTGGAAAGTAGAATACGTTGGCCATCGGGACGTTGATCAACCGCTATTGCATCCAAAATGCGGGTTTGGCCTTCCAGAAACTCCATCACGTGCAAAAATACAGGATCCTCCTTTTTCAAAGCGTACTCTTCCCAGTCTTTCTGCGTAACGTCGTCTAGCTTCGATACTAATAGCTGTGTCAGCATCGCTCCCCAGCCTGCAGTCACTTCCCCTAATTGATCCAAGATTTTTGTGTGCCGGTCGAAAGTATCGATAACATCATGGATCCCACTTGCAGAAATTTTCTTCATCTTCGGAAACTGTAGAAGAGCGTTGACGTGCCGTTTCTTCTGTAAATAAACGTTCGAATAACGTTTGGTCAAAGCAGACCAGGCAACACCGTAGCTGGCTTCACTCATTGGGAATGCATCAACAACCTTAAGTGCCTCACCCTTTAGAGACGCTCGCAGGTAATGAAAGCGCTGAATCCCGCTCAAATCTGGATTGGTGTGGATCAGCGACTTGAAAGTGTCGAAAAAAGGCAACCATTTGTCGAATTCCCCATTAAATTCTGGCAAATTTATCTTTGGTAGTTGTACACCAGCACATGCCTCCACACGTGTATTAGTGGAGGTAGAAGGGGAGGGTGAGGGAGTGGTGGATGGCAACTTCGCTTTCAACCCTGCCCTTACCTGGAAGTACAACTCCTCGAACTCTGACCGAGTCTGCTTGTGTTGATCCGCGTTCTCCTCATGTTCCTCCATTTCCTCTATTTGCATCTTGACGTCCTCGAATTCCTCCCATTTCTCGTCTAATTTGTCCATGCGAGGTTGCACCTGTAGAGCATGAATAGCCGGATCGTATTGCTTCAGAAACCGCGCCGTGCGATGGAGAAAGTCCACGATGTTGTCCCGCACTTGCAGTTTAGGCTTCAGCTTCTTCCCCATAGCGTATCAGTGCGGCGGCGAAACTGTGGAAAGTACGAAGCACAGCACCACAAAACAGAGGGATACAATTATTGGAGAGAGCCTAATTAATTAGGCCTTGTATTTATTTATCTCCCAACAGGAACAACAGGATTCTCCGTCTAGAGTCCACTACAAATTCTGAGGTTTTTGGCGATAACCTCAGCAGCTTGCGGTGATTTCCAATGTAGCAGAACTCATCCAATGCGGAAACCGAGAAGCAAGAAATTGGTTGCAATATATCCGTCGAAGCAGTAAAATATCAGCTCAGTACTCACCGGGTGAGCCTGGTTCGACAGGCCATGTATAGCAACCGTATGTATCAAAATACGCGCCTCCGGTAACAAGCTATACGCTGAATCGTCAATGCACAAGACCACCGTTTTGATCTTATAATCCAGTACCCGACTAACGGTCGAATCTGTCGCCTAATCGATCACCAGTGAACTCAAATTTATCGTGACCATCCAACAATAGCAATCACTTAGCAAGGTTGCTATTATTTGTCCCAAGCAGTGTGCGATACAAAGACCACACCATCCAACAGTCACGAAAGCAAAAGGGTTTTTTTTTTTTTTTTTTGTTAATTACTTTATTTGTACAGGCTCAATCGAATAAACTTTACAGAGCCAAGTTATCATTTTCTTTATACATTATAAATGTCTTAAATCTAAAATTAAAGGATTGGAACCGAAAAGCAAAAGGGTTGATGAACTGTTCTCCAGGTCGTTGCTACTCAAAACGTTAAGCACTCCGTGCACAAAAGCTTTGGCGAACACGTTGGAAAAAAAAAATGGTGTCCAACAAGCAACTACCCGCGGCACAATCCTGGTCACGGCACCAATGTTCGGAGCCTTCAAGAACGCACCATGGACACCCGTTTTGCTGCAAACTTCTGTTTCTTGACTTCGTTATAAAGTCTCGCTTATGGCCGTGGAATTGTCGAGAAACGTTATTGAAAAGAAAACACTCGCGATCAAAATGTAAAAGAAAAGAGAGGCTTTATTGCAACAAAAATGTAAACTATATTTTTCTAATTTTACGACAACGGTGACCGATCGACTTGGCGTTTTTATTGGTACTGACTTAGGCAAAACATATCACCAAAAAACTACAATATGTGTGTATCTAATCGAGAAGCGTTACAATTCAGTATCAATAGCTTTCCCGTGTAGACATCCAAGAGAGACAACCGAAAGCAAGAGAAGTTATGCTACACGGGGGGCGCTCGGAAGGAACGCATCTGAAGGTTTTTTGTAATGTACCTAACACCGTTAAATGCGTGAACGAATATACACAATGAAGAGATACGTCTGTTTGTCTGTGGAATTTATCGTAATCTTTTAAATGAAAAATATTTACAAAATATTGAAGAGGGTTTTTTTGCTATTCAACTTGCAAATCATTTTTTTACCAAAATAACTTGATTTTTTCTGTGTATTTTTTTTTTTTAAATAATATTTTTTTCCTACCTCTTTGTCTAAAACGTCATTTCGATTGGAAGTGACGGTTTTGAGTTATGATCTGTCGAAAAATAACGAATACGCCATTTTGAAGTTGTTTTTTTTTTTGGGAGTTTCAAAATGTTAACATTTTTGCAACGTGTGAATGATTGACCATAACAAACAATTATGCAAAGTTTCATGCAAATCGGAGAAGGTTGCATCAGACCAATTGGTCATTTGGCGTGGAACTGCTCTTTTTTGTTTACGTCTCATCGCCACCGTCCAAAAGCATCAATGGGAATTCATATTAAATTACATCAAATCTATCCTTTAATGGAATGTAAACAGGTAAACCATTCATGTCCAGCAGATCTCGTGCCTCGTAGCCTCTGCTGAGCTCTGCTATCCATGTCTGAGTGGTAATTTCGCACTGTATATCCATGTTTGTATATTGTGACCGTTGTTCGAGGGTCAGGTTGTGTTTCGGTTTACGAGCCAAACTTTGACTGCACGCGTGGGATTAATTTGAATAAACTGAGAATGGGTAGTTAAACGTAGAATCGAAAGAGCTAGCCTGTCCTCTGCGTCCGGGAATGGCGAAATGGAAAAGTTTAAAGTGTGTGAAAGTCCAGCCCAGCGGATGAACCTGGTCGCTTATGGCAGCATCGAGCTGGAAGTAATGTAAGGATAGAACGGAAATTTATAGCCCGCTTATTCGCAAGGATTAAAGTTATTATTATGGCTCGAGGAACGATAAAGTGCAATAAATATGAGGTCTTGCTTCACTGAGTACCTGATGAGGGTGTTGTTTCGTTGTATTGGTTGTAAGTTGTTTAAAGTTGGGCTGATGAATGGTTGTTGTTCAGGAAAAATTATACAGGGCCATTGCAGGCCAACACAACAAACCAATTTAAATCACATTAGCTCACATTGACATTTGCTTAAAGTGTGAAAGCCTGAGGGACAGAGCAGTTAGTGAGCATTCAGGCCTACAACGAAATGGCATCTCCCTTGTGGGTTATACTGTCGCTCATGACTTCCATGAGCCCTGAATCGAAAGTAATAAAATTGCCACGAACGTGTCTACCGGAACACTACGAATTGAAAATCGATTTGAGCAATCCCGAAGGGTTCGTTCCGGAAGTGAAAGGAAGTGTTCAAATTCGTGTCAATTGCTTGTTGAATAGCAGCAATCTGACACTGAATTGGAAGCGGCTGTTCATCGTTGAGGACGATGTATCCATCACAGCATTCGATCCGAAGAAGCCGTCATTACCGGGAACTGCTGTAAAAATGACCAAAGCTGATTACCAAAGTGACCGAGACTTTCTCGTACTAAATGTTGGACAAACTCTGAAGAAAGGTTCCAAATACATCGTGTCAGTGAATTTCAGTAAAACTCTTGGCATAGAACCTACTGGTTTGTACAGAAGTTTCTACTACGATTCCACCGGAGCAGCAATGAATTGGATTGTTCTAACGAATCTGTACCCCATGAACGCTCGCACTGTATTCCCGTGCTTTGACGAACCGGACCTTAAAGCAACATTCAATTTGACCCTGATTTACAGTCCACTCTACAATGCGATAAGCAATCTCCAATGCGTAGAAAATAATTGCAAAGGATACCTTTCGGAAACGAGTGTGTGTCGAAAGTTTGCAAGTCAAGCACCGATTGCACCCTACCAGCTGGCATTCTCCATCAACGATTACAGTGAACTAGTGGAAACCGATGTATTCGGTCTAAAAATCGAGGGATTGACTTCTGATCGGTTTGACGAACTGGATTCAGCCATCAACTATACCAATACTCTGCTGGAGTATTACCATGACGTTCTTGGTGTAGAATACCCAAGTGATAACCTGACACTCGTAACTGTTCCAGCATATTCATGGGAGTTCTCCGGAGGAACCGGCCTGCTTGGTGTTCCATTCCATGAAGATGATCACGACCGAATGCATCTACAATTGGCACGTGGGTTGTTACGACAGATCCTTACGAATCGAGTTACATTAGAGTCCTGGACTGATTTGTGGATTATAGAAGGCTTGACGTGGTACTTTAGTCAGGATGCACTCGGTGCAGATTCAAATGATGCATTTGATCAATGCTGGCAGTTCTCCAAATATGATGCCTTAAACACTAGTTTTGCTTTGCAGACCAATTCAAGTAATGCTACCATACCACCTTTGAGAGAAATAGGACAAAAAACCTTCTGCATCTTTTCTACTCTAGCAAATTTCATTGGAAAGCCAAACTTTTTGCGAGGGACAAGGGATTTCATACAGAAATACCAGAGCAAGTCAATAGATTTTAAAGCATTCCAAAGCAGTTTCATCAGTAATGATCTGAAGGGCAAAGATTTGGAAACGTTGTTCGAAAGCTGGCTAACCAGCTCAGGCGTATCAGTACTGAACGTCTCAAGGAATGGAAATTTGACGAAACTCGAACAGATTCAGTTTGGTGTGTTCAATCAAAGCAGGGAAAATTGTCGTCAGCTGAAAGTTGTCTTAAATCAGACTTCGTTACCCTTGTGGATAGATTGCACCGCTTTAAGCAAAGCTATCAACTTGAACGATACCCCAATAGCGTTGACCGGTAATGAATCATCTTACTTTAAAGTTCTCTACGACAGTCAAACGTACGCCATGATTGGAAAGCTGTTGAAGGGATCAAACAACCTGTCAACATCAACCCGGGTGCAACTTCTGAACGATGTGCTTGACTTTGCTTGGATGGGCTACGTTAACTACACCGTCGCTTTGGATTTGGTCAGCTATCTTCAAAACGAAACCGAACACCGTCCGTGGAATACAGTACTCGGTCATTTCGATAGAATTTGGTACCTCTTGAACAATAACTCCGAAAGGAATGAATTGAAGAAGTTTCTCCAGGTGATAATAACCCCCATCTATAAACATTCTGGGGTCTTCAACATATTCGAAAAACTGTCGAAAAACACGCAAAAGCTTCATTCGCTGCTTGCTCGGTGGGCTTGTCGATTGGATTTGGAAAACTGTACTGCCAGTGCAAGGAGAATGTTCAAAAATGGATTGATTGTACCGGAATTCTTGCTTGAAAGCGTAATAAGGGAAGGAGCCGGGTCCGGAAACATTTCCGATTGGGGCCATTTGGCGGAAATGAATCAAAGCGTCAACTTTGTTCATAGAGCTGCCACACTGATCAAGGTTTTGCAAGTCGCAGAACCACATGAGCTGATCGAAATGGTTTTGGCTACATTTGCGAATAATTTAAATATACAACAAGATGATCATTACAAGCGTCTTGTTATAGATGCAATACTGGACGATGTGCAACTTCCAGCTTTGACGCTGGATGTGATGTTATCACTGTTTGGTGAAGAGAGCGGTTCGACAAAGCGGAGTATAATTCGGCAAATGGTCGAAAGGATAACAACCGAGGACGATGCCGACATACTGCTAAGATTGATTCAACGATTTAGAAGCGATTCGGGGGATGTTGCTTCATATAACGAGGACGTGGCTAATCTACGATTCAATTTGGATTGGTTGAAAAGGCGCCGCGATGATTTTTTGGAAGCAATTAATAAAAATTTAACTACATAGATGAGATAAGATGGCTTTCTTCAAAAGACTTTCAGCCATAGGCTGATTCGTCTCTTAAAATAATGATGTAGGCACATTTCAGTGGACAGTTTTTTTTTAACAAACAATGATTAATTTAATTACAATAATAATTATAATTTTATAATATTATTATTTTATAATATTATAATTTAATAATTTTATAATTATAAAAACTGTTGATTTCGAAATTGAATAAATGAATAAATATAGAAAATCTGTCATAAATTTTTTTGCAGTAATATAGCAAATAATCAGTCTGAAGTCTGATTAAGTAGAATTCAGCATTTTTAAAGATTGCATGTCATACCAAATGCGACTTTAAGTCAGCCTCAGAATTCCTAAAATTTGCATTAGTTTTTCGTAGAGTATAGTCAAAATAGTTCATTGAAACTTCTAAAGGTATTTGAAAATTGTGGTTAGATACTCAGACAGGCCTCAATTCGAATCAACCATTACGATGACATTTTTACTCCTACACACGTAGAAATACTTAATTTTACACGTGACGGAATCCATCTTTGACATAAAGGATGGCACGTAAACAAAGATGTCATGTAAAATTAAGTGCTCCGACACTGAAAAGTTCGAAAGAACGTTTGATTGAGCTGAATTTCGCGTCTATTATGACTCAATTTTATGTCAAAAATGACGCTCGTATATGTCAGTCTCAGAGCAACTAAATTTACATCAATTTTTCAAAGTGTGTACAGTCCAACAGGAATATCAATCCTGTCTGTGTAAATTGAGTCAATGTTCTAAGAATATTGACAAGTACATCAAAAATTTGGTTTGTGATCAGTGATAAAAGCAGACAGTAGCTTAACTTCACAATAACAGCTACGCCATGCTGCATTCCAGACCGGTTGAAGATAATTTCTTGGGCATATACACTCATTGTGGTTGTTATTAAAGAATGCATGATACAGACTTGCTCACTGCAGAATGCTCATAATTAACAACTGTGGATGTTTTTTTGACGTAGGACTACGTCTGTGATTTCTATATGGGGGTACACTTTTTGAAAACCGAAAATGGAACATGTAACAAAATTATGAATGATTTTGAACGTTCATAACTCAGCTGCCCCTGGAACAATTTCAATAATTGTATCACCAATCGATCAGAAATATTCCTACGTAGGGGAAATGACGGCTTCGGCATGACAGACTTTTTTCGGCAACCCAAATTGAAACACTATTTTCACTGGATTTTCTTACGAAAACACTTCGCTGAATGCATGCAAACGATTCTTTATGCTTTCAGCTTCAATTTGACTATATTTTTACAACTGAGAAAAAGCAATCTAGCAGGGTTTTCTTGAAATGCAACACACGCACTACAAATTGTAGCTGATTTCGAGTTGCCGATAATAGAACAGCAGAGTTACACGCAGTTCAAATGGAACGGTTGCCGAAGAAAAACTGGTTGCCGACAATACTCGCTCTCACTAGCGAGCTTTGTAAAAGCGTTTCAAAACAGTTTTTGACAATTCTTTCGACTGAAATTGTTAGAGTAGCTGGCAGCAAAAGATTGTAAACAAACCAATACTGCATATGTGTGCGTTCCTTAGAGAAAAAGGCTATAGAAAGAACGTCGCTGCTTAGGTTGCCGAGAATACGTAAATTCCCCTATGTGTTAAAGTTTAAAGTTTATAATTTTTCAAAATGTCATTATTGAAAACTACACGAATGTACAACTGTTGCTATGATAATTAAAACTATCACCGATTGCCTGCGAAAATCGATTTCCCTAACACAGATTTCAAAGTTGAATTCCATCCGGTCTCACCAAACGGTGTTTATTCAATCACCGTGTGGTGAACCGTGGCGTTCTCCAGTACACAACGAAAGGCTTCCCGCAAGCAGCTAGCTGTCAATGCTGGCCTCAATCGTTGATCGTATTATGTTCCAATTGCCGTGTGTGGTGGTGTCCGGTCGTCTGCATCAGCAACAGCAGCAGCAGTAGCAGCAGCAGAAGCAGCAGTGCTTTCGGCACGTGGCGTTGAACATTGTTCTCCAGTACAGAACGAAAGGCTGCCTGCAAGCAGCGAGCTGGAGCTCACATGAGCATCCATAGAAGGAGGAAGAAGCCACACCGCTATTGATCGGAATCAGTAGCTCTTCGTGAGTCACTGTGGGCTATCTATGGCAAGTGCGTCATACTAAAGAGTGTATACAGTGAGAACCCTGCTCAAATTCATATTCCTACACAAAACACAAGCTCCTGCTGCAGTTAATAAATAAGATTTATAATATAAGACCACGTAGTCCTACGTCACCATTACGTACAACCCCATAGGGCTGTCCGTTGTAGTTTTTTTTAAAACTTTCCATGATTTGTTTTCGGTCGATCTTGTTTTCCATACTGTGACTAGTATAACTCTACTGTCTGTTCCCGGTAATTTCTCATTAGCAAGAGACCTCTCGGGCTGGGTCTCAAAGTCGGCTTACTACTGGGCAATCGGAGGGGCTACGCGACCAAACGTGCAGAATACTGTCACCTGATTAAAGTTATGGAAAAAATGCAACTGTGGTTCAAGATGGAAACAATTTATTGAGCTATTGTTTGAGAGGGTAGGTTTATATTACTACTATTGTGGGTATACACCCACACCCACAATAGTAGTAATATAAACCAACCTGGGGGGTTTATTCTATGATGATGACTGATGCTGAATATGTACGGCTTCGACGACGTTGGGCGAGCGCTCGCTGGACTCACTGTGCTACGAATTCTGCCAGATTCGGTGTGGCGATCGTGTTCAATGTTGGCTGATAGGTCCTCCCAGGCGTTTTCCCTCATAGACTTACATCGGCAGAGCCCAGGCAGGGCCGGAGTGACTCTACCGAGAGGGGAACGTTTCCTTGGCGGTTAGGGAGGGTTCCCGAGACCAATTCCTTCCAGCCGATTATTTTTGGTCTGGCTTGAGGAAGGCTAGTTCCTTTGCTTTTAGACCTAGCGGCCCATAGAGACTGCTAGTCCGGATCACGTGCGCGTCGGTTGATCTTGTCAACGGACAAAATGGCGGTGTTTACCAAACGGTAATACAAAAGGTCCTGAATTGAGCTGAGGTGCAACAAATTGTCACACTCGAATATTACCACTCACTACTGGCTATTTCAAGCCCTTTAACCGTTCAACACCTTTCACACGTGAACGCCTGGGCTGTTCGTGGGCTATCTGACCTCTGTCCCTTCGATTTTCCATCCCTCCATCCTATATCCCAATCAAAAAAATCTTTTCTCCATTTTCCCGCCTGCATTTCCTTGTAGTAGTTGCATCCACTGTACTGTAACCTATTCCCACTTTACTGCTATACAAATTAAAATTTTAACAATTCCCTACTAACAAATTGACAATATTTTAATACATAATCTTTAAATAATCCTACTAACAAACACCAAATAACTTATAAAAACGTGACAGTACATTAAACAATTATGCACAAATTAAAAAAAACATACACATCATGTAACAAACGGTTACAATACCTCATATTTATACCAGCTAACCTATCAAAATTCTCTAACCAATGAGATTTTTTTTTTTTTTTTATATCTTTATTAAGGAGACTTTCAGCCGTTGGCTGGCTCGTCTCCGAAACCCCAATGAGATTCCGTTTACATACACAGCAAAAACTAAATTTTAATATTACATCCAAGAGGATGCACTTCAATCATGTCGAAAATCTCATGTAGTTTTTATGGCCACAAAAATAAACAAATGCAGTAAAAGCAGCGTAATGTCAGTTGATGCACTGTATTAATGATAATTTTGTCCTTTTTGGAAAGTAATATTACACCATATTTTTGACACGATTGAAGTGCATCCACTTTGATGTGATAGCAAAATTATTTTTTTACTGTGTACGAACTATCACGATTCACGCTCACTCGATTATACTCATTATTTATTCAATACTAACTCTATGTACTACAAGGATCAATGCTGCCGACCCATGGAGGCCGGTCTCACACCTGGACCCATCAACTCATGGACCGGGGACCAACGGCTTTGCTTCATTTTCGGAGGAAGGCGTGATAAGAGATTTTATATCTCAGAAAATTCCGGCGCTGCCAATTGACCCAGGCCCTTTGGGTTGAGAGGTAATTACGCTTACCACTACACCACCGGTGCGGCCCTTGACTGTGAATGTTTTCACAGAACCCTAAATACGTTAACAAATAGAAGACAAATTACCCAAGTCGTTAAGATATCTAAGCGTCTTATTACGACCATAATAATTGATAAATCGATTCCATAACAATTTCTCTATGCTTCAACCATCGTCTTTCATTGTGGTGTGCAGGGCTTTACATTGTCGAAGCTCTAAACTGAACTCGATTTCTGTTTCTTTCATGCAACGTGTTCAACGCATCATTTCTATAATGCCTAGCTAGCATTGTAACGGATTGATACGCATTGCATCATGACCGGGTAAGTAGTAGAGTGGGATTAGTGTTCAGTACCGGGTATGAATTAGGAAACGTGATAGCACGATGTATGAGTGAACCTATGAGCGAGTGGGATAGCGAGATAGCGATACTGGTTGGTGTTGAGTGAGTAGCAACAGGCGAGTCAGTCAGTGTTCGACAGTGCCATCAAACAGACGTGGATACGAGTGCGGGTCAGTGTACAGTACGAATCGGCGTGTTACAATGGCGGCGAGGATTAAAATTGGTAAGTTTCAGTTTTGGAACAAGAAAACAAAAAAAAAATATGAACAAATGTTTCATGCGTACATTTCGAGGTACATTTACGTACCAACAGTACTGGCAATTTAGTGAAAAAACAATAATTCGGGAGATAGAGTGAATCTGATTTTTTTTTCTCAAGACTAACGTGAACGCTGGAAAAAAAAATATATGGCGGCTTATTGGAAAAATTTGCAGCTGCTTAGGCCAGAATGCACAGAAGATGAGAAAACATGGCGGCGGTGTTGAACTTACTTTTATATGAAATACTCGATGTTTGTGGTT